CGTGGAGGTAGACCTAGGCCCAAATTGGGGCTGTAGCGCCACAGAAAAAAAAAAACAAAAAACAATTCTCTTACCCATCTGTCATTTAGCACAAAACTTTCAGATATGAGAACAACTGTCGGCATATCACAGCATTGCGGAGCTGTCACGATGGTATTTTGATGTTTATACTGAATGACAGGTCGCTGTCTTCGCTTACGTTCAAACGTTTGCGTCTTCACTTGGTCGCAATGTATTATCCATTCAAGATTTAGTATGAATAAGAAAGTTGGTGATGAAGAAAAGGCAAAAACTTAAAAGCTATCTCTGTAACAGGCCGTAGAGGCCCATATGGTTGTGTACCATCGAGGCTCCCACATATTCTAGGCAATCGGATCACAGATGGCGGTGAGGTTGTCAGCCTTACGCGCCGGCTGCCCGCCCTTTACCCCCAGGAAGATTCCTGGTACTCATTTCTGTTAGAGGCTGAGTCAATCCCAAGGCCATAGTGCGGCTGGAAGGATTAGGTCAACTGAAAAATCCAATATACCATCAAGAATCGAACCCGCGATCTTCCTACTTCTAGCATGGTGCCTTAACCAACTACGCTACCGCCTGCCTCCAGAAGTCCGTGACGACGGTATATTAATATATTTATGGTCTTTTTTTGTACATACCCACCCATCTAGTTAGATTATACACGTATGGGAATGTTCTGTTTTTACGTTTGTATTCTTCATGTCTCATTTATGTAACACTCGTCGGGTTTGCTTTATTTGGAATTACGTCTTCTCCTGTTTTTAGGAAATTTCATCTGGTCAAATTTAACCCTCTATACTAATTGGGTCTGTGTGTTTTTCCATCTTTTTTATCTGTAATATTAAAGATCGATAGTCTGTGCCCTAATCTTTGATTTTACAGTATCTACAGTTATTCTTTTTAGAATCTGACTCTACATGTCCCATAGATAGATGGTAGGCCAATGGCCAATATCCTTGAAGAAGAAGAAGAATTCTACATTTTTATCTTTTGTTTTAGTCCCACTGTGATTTTATTGGCGCTGGCGTTAGCGCGAAATTCGTCGCTATGTGGGACCCTGGGTAGCTGCCCCTCTCGGCCCACCCTACACATGACTCTGTACAACATTCATTAGTTTAGAGAATCTTTAGTCTACAATTTCACAGTAAAAACAAACAGAAATGCGTCCAGGTACATAATATTAAAAGAAATAATGAATCTTAAAAATTACACACTTTAAAGACAAGTCTCTTCTCTTAAACAGGCATCGTACATTAACTCAAAATCTGGA